TTGATGCATCAAACCGTCTCATCCTCTGTCATCACTTTCACCTCCTGTCCTCAGCTTTCCCACCATCAGGGTCTTTTCCAGTGAGTTGGCTCTTCATATCAGGTAGCCAAAGGATTGGAGCTTCATCTTCAGCATCAGTCCTTCCAGTGAATATTCAAGAATGATTTCCTTTAGGATTGACTGGTTGGATCTCCTTGCAGTCCAAGGGACTCTTAGTAGTCTTCTCCAACACCACAGTTCAAAAGCGTCATTTCTTCAGTGCTCAGCCTTCTTTATGGTGCAACTCTCACATCCATACATGACTATTGGAAAAACCATAGCTTTGACTAGCTACCCTTTAGCTACTAGTATTTATATAGAACTTAGATCTTAAGGTGGCTCAGATGGTAAAGAATCTGCCTGCAATGTGGGAGACCTGGGTTTGTTCCCTGGGTCCAGAGGATCCCCTGAAGAAAGGAATGTCTACACACTCCCAATATTCTTCCTGGATAATTCCATGGATAGAGGAGCCTGGTGGGCTATAGTCCATGGGGTCGCAAAGAATTGAACACGATTGAGTGACTAACGCTAACACTTTAGATCTTAATGACATCATAATAGTTAGGGTTGATGGTAATAGTCCCCTGACAGATCAGAGAATGTTAATATGTATATTATGGACATTGATTGTTTAAAATGGCTTGGCTTTTCCTGCCAGGAAGCTGAGAGCCAAACTCCTGCATCACTTGTAACAGTGTACTGTTTAAGAAGGCAGGCTCTGAAGACAGATTTCCTTGATTCAGATTCCTGGCTGAGTTTGTCAGCTGTGTTTGACCTTGGACAAGTTAGGTAATAGCCCTATGCCTCAGTTGTCTGGTGTGTCAATGAAGATGGAAGCACCTGCCCTCACAGGAATGGAGTAGAGTGTTTGTCTCAGTACTTGTCGCAGTAGAGCCTTTCAAGCTTTGCTGGTGCTGGAAGGGCCTCTGCAAGCAGTGTGCAGTGATGCGTCTTTCTGTGCCGTGACTACCCTGACTTGTGCTGTCCTGCTGCTTTGCTTTCATTCCACTTTCTTTTTTTTCTCCCTCTTCTATAAATGCCTATACACTGCCTCAAAATTTCGTAGAATGAAGCAGGCCGTAAGTTAGTATGTTACTCGGGGGCAGCTGATTACAGATGACAGAAATACAACTCAAACTAGCCAAAGCACACAAAAAAGTAAAATTTAACTCACGTAATTGACACCTCCAGAAAATAATTCAGATTTAACTGGATCAAAAGCCTTTGCTTTGTTCCCATTTTCTCTTTCTCTCTTTTCTCTCCTCTTACTTCTCCTTCCTTTCCTCCCCCACCCTACCACCCCTCCACCTCCACACACACACACTCCTGAGTACGCAGGAATGGTTACAGTGCTCACTGAGAACTGGAAAATAGGCACACAGCAGTGTTGAGGTTTGAATGCCCAAACTTGATGAAGCTGAGTGCTCCCAGGATGCCGCTGGTTATGTTTCACGTGTATCCAACAGTTGTGCTGTGTGAGCAAGCCACAGGGTGGCGCTGTCGCTGCTTACAGGCACGTCTTTGGGACGCTCAGTCCTCACTGAGGACGACTAGAGCGCCACCTCTGAACTGCCACCCTGGGCGTGGGGGCTCCAGCAAAACCTTGCCCCTGTATCAGCAGACGACTGAAAAGCTGTCCATAGAGCACGGGATGTGCTTTCTCTCCATGCTCACTAGCGTTGCTCCGTCCTGTCTGGTTTGCATCGTTTCCCACGAGAACCCTGCTGTCGCTGTTATCTCTGCTCCTCTGTACATAACAGTTTTCCTCCAGTCGCTTTAATAAAGGTTTTCTCTTTATTACCGGTTGTAAGCAATTTGTGGTGTGCCTTGATGTATATTTCTTCATTCTTGTTCTTGGGGTTTGTTGATATTCTTGAATTTATAGATTTATCAAGATTTTTACACAGTATTTCACATATTTCTGTCTGACTGAACTCCAGCTGCACATATATTAAGCCACTTGAAGTTGTCTCATGGTTCTTTGCTGTTTTGTTCTCTTAAGTCTTTGTTCTGAGGTGTAGTAGTTACTTAGAGTTTACTAGATCTAGCCAGTTCTTGCTTTGAAGCCTTGTCAGGTGGCCCCAGGGCAGCCTTTTTAGGTTTTTTTTTCCGACTCTAAAGGCAGTAATTCTCACTACTCTTCTACTTATCTCAGGGTTTTTCACTACGGTTGGTGGAGCTGGAGCTTTTCCAGGCCCTGCGTGAGCTCTGAGAGATTGTTCTAACCTGCTCCTGGCCAGGGGTTTGTTTTCCTGCCTCAGATACTGTCCTTACATGCATACTCTGATCAGTATTCAGCTGCAGCTTTCTCTATGCTGCTCTCTCCTCTCTGGTACTCTGGCATCCTGCTAGCTCCAGCTGCCTTGGCTGCCCGCCCCAACCCTGGGAGCTCCTAGACTGTGGCTGGAAACTGCGGGCAGTGAGCGGTCATACGGCTTGCCTCACTTGTTTCCCTGCTCTCGGGGCCTCTGTCCGGCGGTCCAGGGTGACAGCTGTTCCTTGATCTGTTTTGTCCAACGTTTTAGTTTAAGCGAGGAGGGTGAATCCAGTCCCTGTTACTTCATCATGGATGGAAGCCGAAGTCTTCTTTTAACTTTGAATTTTTAGTCATGTTGACCAGGTCTTGTTGATCTGTCTAGATTGTGTCTTTAACCCTGCTGTGCATGTAGTAAAGCATTTGGCCATCTTCTCAACTCTTCCATTGCTTAACCTAACATTCATGTAGATGGAGGTGCCCAGGGAGACGATTGTCCATGCTACCAGCAAGAAATATGACTGGGGCAAAATTGGCAACTCTTAGGATATCATAGGTATAAAGACATTAGAGTTTGTCCCACTTCCCTACCTCTGCCAAAGGGAAAACCCACAGTAATTACTGGGGCAGCTCTTACCCAGACCCAAGTGCAGATAAAACCATTAGGGGAGAAAGTGCCATGGTGGCACCCCCAACCATGGCATTTCCAAGAGCATTGTGAGCTTCCTAAGTCCACAGACTTGAGAAGTACACTGTGTCTTGTTAGGTACATGTATCTGTCAGCCTGGGGAGCATGAGAAAATGGAGAGGAGAGGCAGAGGGCTCCCCACCCAGACCCTGCCTCCTGCCGACCCCAACAGTGAAAGGAGAGGGGTCCCAGGTGCCTTGGGTAATGAAGAAAGAGCCCAACCATACGCAGATGCAGAGAGGCCCACAAGCCACAGGGGGAAGGGTGAGTGGGGGGGTCTGAGAGAGCAGAGATCCCGCGCTTCAGGGGCGGGGCTGGGACCTCACTTCTTCCCCCCACCCCACCTCCCGCAGCTGTGCCTTTCTCAGCAGGCTCTTCACTCTGGCCGGCAGCCGCCTCATACACTCGCCGCCCAGGCTTCAAGGCTCCTCACGCTGCCGCTGAGCCAGCCGCATCAGGCCCAGGCCTGTGGTTCCTGTGTTACTGAGAGTTTTGCAGGCGCCTCACTGGATTCACCAACTGAAGGGCAGAACAACCTGCCTTGTTTACCCAGCAAAAAAACATGTAGTTGGGACTCATCTGTCTCTTAAATGAATAGAGGGAGGCCAGGCCATGTGCTGGGGTATATCTTCCTAAGTTTGGGGAAGAGGGACTTGGCTCGAGCGAGCGCATGCTCTCCCCCATGGGACACAGGCCCCTCGGGCTCCAGGCCGTAGGCACGCAGGTCCTCGGTGCCTCCCGCCCGGCCAGCTGTTAGCCGCTGCCTATTCACAGAGCTGTCGGCAGAGGGGTATGTTGGGTTGATACACACGGACTGACCACAGAACTCTGCACTAGGCACTCTGCTAGGCATCAGAAGCTTTGGTCACAAAGGTGTGATTCCTGCTCCTCCCAAGGGCAGTGGTTGATTCCTTAGCATGAGCATAAATGTATTCAATTGCTGAGAGTTCTCAGAATAGGCTATTAGAAGCAGGAACCTCTGCAAAGTGAAGCACAGCCAACAGCAGAGCTCAGAGAGCCCAGGTCCGCTCAGCTAGGCCCGGCTGATGCCTCCTGGGTCAGGGGGAAGCATGCGGGTAACCTGCACTTCCCCGGATTCTCAGGGCTCTCATGTGTCCCCCCCAGGGAGCCCTTCTCTTCCTACAAGTTCGGAGTCAGAAAGGCCCTCCCAGCCTCCTTTCACACCCCTATGTCAGGCAAGAAGTCCACAAGGGCCACCTTTCTGTACCCCTAGGAGCCCTCTTCCCGCTACCCCAGGACCTACACATGCCTGCCAGGCACCTACCCCCCTGGACCCACACCTCCCCATTCCCGTCTTCCAGCTCCATTCCAGCTCTTCCCTGGACCTGTGGGTGCTTTTTGTGGTTACTCTGAATGTCTCCAAGCGCCAGGGCTGGTTTTGTCCTCTCAGAAACCCCAGTGCTTGCACCTCGGGCGAGGCGGATGGACCGGGGTGGCCTTGGTCTTCTGCAAAGTAGACCCCCCGAGGTAGAGCGGTGTAACCCACAGAGCGAAGGATAGAAGGTGCCCGGTTTGGCATTGAGAGGCCCTGTCAAGACGGGCTGCCCCAGTTAAACAAGTTGTCCGTTTGTTTGGCCAACACTTCAGGAGCATCCGTGCCACGACCGAGGTCGCCGCCGGAGCGTGGGGTCCCTCGGGTAGGGTCCTGGAGACATTGGGCACGGCTTCTTCTCGGGCAAAGCCCCCGCGCTCCGCGGACCGGGCCGCATCGCTGGTGCAGCGTCTGCCCCCGCGCCCTGGCCGGCAGGTGCTGGCCAGCCCGGCTCGCCAGCTGCGGGACTTCCCTGCGGGGTCCCGGCGCGGCCCCGATCCCCGCGGGCCACCCCCCCCCCACCTCCACCCGCCGCGGGCCGCAGTGGGCCGGGCCGCAGTGGGCCGGGCCCCGCGGCCGCCGCCTCCCGCCGCTCGGCTGCCGCCCCCGCCCCCGGTGCGCCGCCCGGCGCGCTCAGTGCTCGGCGGGGCGCGCGGCGGGCGGCTGGACTCGGCTCGGCTGCGGCCATGGCCCCGGGCCTGCGCGGCCTCCCGTGCCGCGGCCTCTGGCTGCTCCTGGGTGAGTAGGCTGGGGTCCCGGCTCCGGCTCGGGACGCGGCCGCGGGCGGAGGGCCCCTCCCTCCGGGGAAGGGGCGGCTTCGGCGTCGTCGCGGGGGCGCGGGGCGCGGGCGCTTCCCCGCCCACCGCCGGGCACTCAGGTGCCAGAGGAAACCGTGACCGCCCTCGTGCACCTTGGCCCCCTGCTGCGGGCCGTTTCAGGTTCCAGAATCAGAACCACGTACCATTTACCTAGAAAACTGGCTAAAACTGAAAATCTGACTCATTCACAGCCAACAGTTGCTGATTTGTAGATAAGCCTCCTTTGCAGAAATGAGGCCGGCAGTTCTCTTCGGGGCATTTCCACAGGTGTGTGGGTGTGCGTTGACTTGCGTGTGTGTGTGTGTGTGTGTGTGTGTGTGTGTGTGTGTGTGTGGCTAGTAGCAGTCCAGAGAGGGACTCTTGGGGAGGTGGTGGAACGCGCCTGGCTTTCTGCTCTGAGATACAAGGGTGGCAGGAACCTGCACCTGACTTAGCAAAATTTAGCAGTAATTGTCGTCTTCAGTTCCCTCTTCCCAATGTTTTCATAAAATGCTAAGCAACCTTCCTGAACTGCCTCAACTATTGTATTCATTTCGTGTATTTAGTTACCTTTTAATAAAAACCAAATCAGTCATGTAAAGTGGAAGAATCCAGTGGCCCAGGGAGGCCCCCACCGTTCTTCTTGGTAGCTGTGTCCTGGCTGCTGAGCAGTGATGCTGCCCTTGGGGAAGGGGGACCCCACACTGTGTAGCTGCTCAAGAGGCGGCCAAGGGCTGCGGGGCTTGTCTGGGAGGCGGGAGGCTGCCACTCCGGGCTTCCAGTTCCCACACCTCACCAAGGAGTGTTGGATCTGCCAAAAACCCTCACCATCTACTTCAACAGAATGTACTCTGAAAGCTGATCCTGCCACTTACATGTTTTTGCTGAAGTTATATGAAAAGCAGAATCTTATAATATTGTTCTCTTCTTTTAGGATCTGTGGGTTTTGACCTGGAACGTACTGTTTTAGTTTCTTAAGAAATGAGCATTTCTCTTTCAGCAAGGAAGAGAGCTGGGCTAAGTCAGTTTTCTAAGCATAAATAAACAAATTCTCTTTCCTGCCGTCCAGAAGCTGCACCCTCTAAAGCTTATATAAATAAAACACTTTATCATGATCACATATTAAAGACCTTCCTTGTTTACCAAGAAAACAATACATGTTCTGGTGGAAGGTCAAAGTCCTGGAACCCTAACATTCTGAGAGGTCTGGCTAATGTTATATCATGGAAGAAGAAACACAGCTTTATGAGGTTATCAGCTCGTTAGTGTCGTTGGAGCCCAGCAGTAATGAGAAGAATTAGGAGAGCACACGCTTTTCTTCCCAAGGGGTAGTGTGAGCTAGAGCCCCTTGGTGATGAAGATTTTGCTACCCAGAAAAGCAAGGTGGAATTTCTTATTTTTCATCAGTCAGAAAAGAAAGACATTTCCAGAGGAGCCAGAGTCCGTGTATGATGACTTTGTTGTAAGCTCCTGTTACTACACGCCCACCTTCACTCGACAGTGCTGGCCGACGTTGGCCTGTATGAACTCCTCTGTCATCTGTCCTGGGAAACACGCATCTACCCCGGCGTCTGGGGGAGGGGGTGCTTCTTGCAAGGCTGCCCTGTCCCTGGGTCGGGAAGATCCCCTGGAGGAGGGAGTGGCTACCTACTCCACTATCCTTGCCTGGAGAATCCTGTGGACAGAGGAGCCTGGCGGGCTACAGTCCATGGGGTCGCACAGAGTCAGACACTGGGTGACTAACACTGTGTTTATTGAAATATGTGACTTTATATAAATACAAGGGTAGCTGTTTGGGACCGACCAGGACATCACAGGAAATGCAGTCCACGTGACTGCTTCGGATTGCCATGCTGCTTTCAGTCCAGAGGCGACTCTAATCCTGGAGTCCGCAGTGTCTGTTCACCCTTTCTGTGTGTGTGGTGGCAGGGAGACGTTTCTGGGCATCCGTCTTCTGTCCGCAGGTGCATGCCCATTGGTGTGCACATGGTCAGTGCCAGGCCAGGGCTGTTGAGAGACGTTTATGCCCACGTCGGAAGCAGCGGTCACCACACATCAGGGAAGGGTTTTAGGAGAAATCCTTACTCAGGGCAAATAGCTAGCTGGGGGAAGTCGGTTCCTCCTGCTTTTCCCCCAGGATGAAGCAATCGCACAGCTTCTCCTCAGAAACGGCGCCTGGCAGAGTGTGCGATGGCGGCGCCCCGTGTGACCTGAATTCCAGTGAAGACGCTGAGCCGTCAGCAGGGCAGCCCCTCGGGCTTGGCCGCCTGCAGGCCCGGAGCTCATCTCTCCCGAGGGCCGCCTGCCGCCGGGACGGTCTCGGGGAGGGACCCGGGACGCAGGCCCAGTGCTTTGTTTTGTCCTCTCAGCTGGACGTGGGGGCCGTGCATCCAGGTTCCATCTGGGGCGGGGGGGGGCGGGCAGAGCACCTCTCCAAGACAGACACACAGACAGACAGACCTCTCCCGAGTGAGCCCGAGAGGTGAACGTTTCCAGCCCATGACCCCGTCGCATCTGAGTCGGATGCGTGCCTTGCAGGGTGGTGGGCCTGGATGGTGGATGCACGGTGGGCACACGCTGGGGCGGCGGGGGGGGGGGAAGAGGGCTGCGAGATCCCTGCCGGAGACCCTCTTGTTCTGCTGGGGCGGGGCCGGGGGAGGGGCGGAACCCCCGCTGACCCTGTGTGCCCCCCGCCCACCTGCCCCTTCTCTGCAGCTTCCCCCTGGCACGTGGAGACCACAGGATGCTGCTGGGGCTCTGCCCTGTCCCCCCAGCCCCCTCCCACCTCCCTCATGGAGCACCCACAGGGATGTCCTGGGCACCAGCCCTTCCCCGCTCCAGGATGGATGACCTTGGGGCTAGGTAACGTTTCTAGAGAACGCGTCTGTTCTTGGCCAGGAGGGTTATGTCAACACAGCAGCGAGAGGAAGCTCCCAAGCTAAACAAGAGCTTATTCTTGGTGACATAATGATGGTATTGTTGTCCATGGAGAAAAAACAAAAAAATTTCCCTAAGATCGTTTTATGTTAGTATTTTCTTTGACATCGAAAGACATCACTTCAGTGATCATTTGAAACTCGGATTCTGAGCAGCTCCACTAAAGCAGGGTCCGTGGCCAAGTCTCGGCAGAGGAGCAGGGGGCCCAGGCGTCTCATCGCAGCCAGGCTGCCCTATTCCTCCTCGTCAGGCCTCACAGAGTCTCCTTCACGTTTCTCTGCGATCCCACGCCCCTCCCACCGGGTGGTGTTCTCCGTTGATTTCTGTGGGACCAGGGACCATAGGCCGCCCCCTGCACCCACCTAGGCAGCCCCCACCTGTGTGTACTTCCAGGGCGTTGGAAGCACAGCCGAGAGGCTCACCAGCGAGGATCCTCCTGAGCCGGACCTCACCTGGGAGGATCAAAGACAGCAGTTTACCCGGCAAATGACCCGGTGATAACGCCTGCCTCACAGTCACACACTCCAGCCCACTGTCAACTGGAATGAAAGCAGTTCATGAATCAGATAGCAGACTTGAGAGCTGGACCATAAAGCCCGAGCGGTGAAGAATTGATGGTTTTGAACTGTGGTGTTGGAGAAGACTCTTGAGAGTCCCTTGGACTGCAAGGAGATCCAACCAGTCCATCCTAAGGGAGATCAGTCCTGAATATTCAGTGGAAGGACTGATGCTGAAGTTGAAACTCAGCATACTTTGGCCACCTGATGTGAAGAACTGACTCACTGGAAAAGACCCTGATGCTGGGAAAGATTGAAGGCGGGAGGAGAAGGGGACGACAGAGAATAAGATGGTTGGATGGCATCACCGACTCGTGGACATGAGTCTGAGTAAGCTCCAGCAGTTGGTGATGGACAGGGAGGCCTGGCAGCTGCAGCCCCTGGGGTTGTAAACAGTCAGACAGGACTGAGGGACTGAACAGCAACAATAGCAAACCTCATGTTTTGGGGGAAGAGGCCTGAAAGGCAAAGGCGTGGTGAGGTAACAGAGGTTGGCCCCTCTGCAGGTGGCATTATTGCCTCGAGCAGATTCCAGGGTCTGTTTGTGCGGAAGGATGCTGTGGGCTGGGTAGAAGCGCAGATGAGAGAAGCACTCCCTCCTCCGGGTGACTTCCCCCTGGTACTTAACCGTAGGGTCACATGGTGCCAGGCCTGCAAGGGGCTTTCGAGAAGCCAGAACAGACCTGGAACGTTGAGAGAGTCGTCCCTGGCCGGGAGTGAGGAGTCTCCCAGCTGATCTGCTGAGGCAGGGCGCTAAGTAAGGAGGAGGCACAGGCTCTGAATTCCGCTCCCCTTCCGTGGTTGGCTGTTGAAGGGTTCCTGGTAGCAGTTAGAAGATGGCGCGATGCACAGTCGGATAGGGCCCTGTGCTAGGCAGGGCGGAGGAGGCGATGGTTCACTGGGCCTTGAGGGTTGAGTAGGAGTTTTCACTTTTCACACAGAGTTTATATATTTTTTTCATTTTGTCTTTTGGGTTCTTGTTTTCTTTTTCCAGAGTAGACGGAGAAAGGCTAAAGGTAACATATTCAAACCAAGTGCTGTTTACGTCATCCTCTGGGGCATTTAGTGACTGGCCAGGCAGGTAGCTTCCTGGGCATTTGGCTCCCAAGTGTCTGTAACCAGAGGAGTCCTGGGAGTGGGTGGTTCCCAGTGTGCTGGACCCAGCTGGCAGAGAAGGTGATTCAGCTGGAGCACTCAGAGCAAGGCTTTTCCCACAGCTATTAGGAGAAAGTCCAGGCAGTATAGAGGCGGCGCTTTAGAAACCCCATTCCTTACCCCATAGAAAATACGGAAGAGCAGAAGGCAGCATGATCAGCTGTAACCACAGCACTCGGATCGCCCACTCTCGATTTACCTCAGATTTACTGATTTTAATTGAGGAGTGACTTCCCTCGTGGCTCAGCCAGTTAAGGAGTCTGCCTGCAATGCAGGAGACCCACGTTCAATCCCTGGGTCGGGAAGATCCCCTGGAGAAGGGAATGGCTACCCACTCCAGTACTCTTGCCTGGAGAATTCCATGGACAGAGGAGCCTGGTAGGCTACAGTTCATGGGGTTGCAAAGAGTTGGACATGACTGAGCGACTTCACTTCTTCAATTCAGTGGAGTAATTGGCATAGAATAAACAATGCATTTCAAGTGTGTGACTTAGAAGATCCTGGGATGTGTATGCACCCACGTGGACTCAAGACTGTGAGCATGTGTACCCACCACCTCCAAAGCGTGCCGCTGTCGCCTCCCCTTCCTGCCCCCTCCCACCACCCCTTTGGGGCTCCACGCCCTGTGAGTCAGTGAGGGCCACTCACTCCGCACACCCACAGGGAGGGCCACGTGGGGCTGATCCTGTGGACACGAGTTCTGGAAACCAACCCTGTGGGCCCGCTTGGTGCAGGAGGGTCTCATTTCACAGAGAAAGAGACTGGCCCAGAGGTGACGGGGCCTGGCGGCCCAGCCCGGGTGGTGGGGGCGGTGGGCCGGGGCCCAGAGGCCCACAGGCTCTGCAGGGGAGGCTCTGAGCTCAGCTCCCCGGCCGGCTACTCCAACAAGGGAGGGGCCCTTCCCACAGCTCGCCCCCCACCCGTGACCCCGGCCCTGGGAGGCCTGTGCGGGTCTGCGGCTGTCTCCGCAAATGCAGCGTGGGATGAGTGGCAGCAAGACGGGCTGGTTCTGCAGGCGTGCAGCCGCAGGCCAAGGGTACAGGCTAGAAGAGAGACCTGACGGGCCCTCCCCTGGGCCCTTGTCGCTCGTTAGAAAGCCCCCAAGCCCCAAGGGCCCCCTTGGGGCGCCAGCCACCCTGTCTTTCTGGCCCCAGGCCCACTGCCATGGCGATCTCCCTGCCGGGGCCAGGTACATTCTCCATGCTTTCTCTGAGCCCCTCCAGCCCCAGCCAGCCCCCCTGAGCTGACCGATGCAGATGCGAGGGCAAGTCCTGCCTCGACTCGCTGCTGTCTGCCCGGCAGCCTCACCCTTGGCCTCTTAAGACATGCACTGTGAAGGATTAACCTCGCAGTCACCCAGGAATGGAACCCATCTGATCTTAAACAGCTGGTTTTAAAACTTTGGGCAGCGTATTCAGTTTTAAAGCTGTGATGTGGCCTCTCTTTGCAATGAAAAAAACTATATCAGGCTCATTTTTTATTTAAAAAAAAACCCAGCGTCCTTCTCCTGTGCTTAAAAATGAACCTGGTTTCCAGGTTCACCCAAGCAGCTTGCCCAACCTCATTCCAGTTGTCAGAAGGCCGGGAGAACCAGCTCTGGGCTCCTGCAGGGCAGGAAAGAAAGGATAGTGGTGAGGGGCAGACTTTGTCCCCATGAGCAGAGGGCCCACCCTTGGGACAGAGACAGCAGCTCCCAGAGAGGCTGACCATGGGCCAGCCCAGAGCGGGGCCATGGCGAGGCCACGGGGCCGGCCCTACAGTGAGCCTCGCACCCACAGTGGGGGCTAGAGTGTGACCTCTGAGGCCTCTGAGGCCCGGAACGATGGTGGGGGACCGTTGTGGGAACCCTCCAGCAGCCACATTTGCGCCTGGCTTTCAGTTGCCCCCGGCGCCCTGACAGAGATGCACGTTTGTCTTCCTTCTCCCTAACCTGGCCCTCCCAGCGCAGAAGGGGAGCCCAGCGCCTTTCCTGACCTCCTGGGGACGCCTCGCTGCAACCCATGCAGAGTGTGCTCTGCTAAAGGCGGGTGTCGCGGGCTTGTTCATTGGACAAATAATACCGCGCAGAGCCGCTGGCTACCTGGGAGGGCGATGGGCGATCAGAGGGCGGCCAATGGAAAGGAAAATCCCCCTACCCGCCCTAACTGAGGCCTGGAGGGAAAGACAGGCGCGGGGACCTCGGGGAGGAGGCCGCGGAGGAGGACGGGCCCCATCTGGGTCTGGGTTTTGCGGGGTGAAAGGCGGTCCGCCGGCCTAGCCCCGGTGGATGTGCAGAGTGCTGAGGGGGCGGGGCACCGGGCTGGGGCCTTCGGGAGGCGGCTGGAGCGCCTCCGTGAGCCAGTGTCTAATCCCTCTCGAGTGACCTGTGCACCCAAGTGGGCTTTCCCTGGGGTGGGGCCCATCTGGATGGAGCCGGGGTTGGGAGCAGCCCCTTCCCCCAGCTGGTCCTCGGGTACACAGTGCTGCGCCGGGTGGACCCAGCGGGGGGCCCATCCCAGGGCACCCAGGGTGGGCTGGCCTGCTGCCCAGCCTTCGGGTCCTCTCCTGGGGCTCCTCCGAGGTGGGGGGGGGTTCCTCTTCCCAGCCTCTTATCTCCCCCACCCACCTCCCATTACTCCTGGTTTCTCTGGCTGAAAACCCCCCGGGTCCTCCCTGCTTGACTGGCTTCCAGGTGCCCAAGCCTGCGTGTCCAGATCTGGGGAACAGAGGGACACCCTCCACGTGGCGGGTGCAGGACCGGGCACCTTGGTGCTCAGGCAGGTGAAATGAAGTGAAGAAGTCGCTCAGTCGTGTCTGACTCTTTGCGACCCCAGGGACTATACAGTCCGTGGGAATTTCCAGGCCAGAATACTGGAGTGGGTAGCCTTTCTCTTCTCCAGGGGATCATCCCAACCCAGGAATTGAACCCAGGTCTCCCGCATTGCAGGCAGATTCTTTACCCCTGAGCCATGAGGTGAAGCCCGAGGCTTTTTACAGCTCCTGCCTCCGGCTTCACCTCTAGCTCCGTGTGCCGTGGGCTGCCTGTTGTTTGGCTTTTTATTTGTGACTAATCACAGACCCTGGCAGTCCATGGGGTCGCAGAGTCAGACACGATTAAGCGACTAAACAAACAAATCTCAGCGTTGTCTGTGTATTGCTGTGAAGTGTCACTTTGTTAGCTCGGGCCCCTGGCAAGATGTGTCCGGCCTGGCGTCCATCACTTAGATAGGTGGAGTCATTAGTCTCCTGCCCCTGATGGGCGACGCGGAATTGGGGGCTCACGGGGACCCTGGAGAGGAGGGTGGGCCCCTGCCACCACGTGCCCCCTGGGCTCTGGGGGGGCAGAGACAGGGTCTGCTCCCCCGCTTGCCAGGGGCCCTGTGCCCAGCCGCCCTCCTGGCCCCCGGGGCAGTCTGCCCTCGGCCTTTGTTTGGGACAGCCCATCGGCTCTGTTAACCTGGAGCCATCACCACTGTCCACCTGGAACCATCACCACTGTCCACCTGTTCCTCTCCCCAGTCCTCACGAGTGGAAGGGTAGGAACAGCTGAGGCGACAGCTTGTCAGCTTGGTTTCTAGCCGATGGACATGAGCTGTCCTCTGGGCCGGCACACGCTGGTGGGAGGGGAGGGCGGGGTCTCCAAGGCCCTGTGCTGCCCGCCAGCCTCCCCGGGGCAGGCCAATTCCTCCCCTCCCTCCCGGGCAGACGCGCAGGGGCCTCGTGGGCGATCAGCCTGCATCCAGTCCCCCCAGGCTGTCCTCGCTGCCGCAGTTTCCACGTCTGCGAAGAGCAGGCTTAGGAACCAGATCGGGGGTGCGTGAGGCCGAAACGATGTGTGCATGTCAGGCCGTGTGCCCCGGACAGGAGGACGTGCAGTCCCTGCTCTGGAGCAGGGAGACGGTGGTCTCGGACCCACCATCAGCAGGTGGGCCTTTGCTGGGCCCCGGAGCGACTGATAATGCAATGATCCAGCTGGAGCCTGGACGCCCCCTCCCGGGATCGCGGTGCCCCCCACCCCCAGGGCATCCGGGGGACCTCGGAGTCAGACGGACCACTCTGTGCTGATGGGTGTGGGCCGCGGACGATGGAGCCAGCCCCTGACCCCGCAGGGATGGGCGGGCTGGACTGGCGAGCCGAGCGGATGACCCGTCCGGGGGCTCTCGTTGCAGTGACCCAGCTCTGCCTGGCCACCGCCTGCCAGCACTCCGACTACAGCACTCTCCTCCGGGAGTCCTGCCTGCCCCAGTTCCAGGCGCACATGGAGGCCGTTGGGAGGACGCTGTGGTGCGATTGGGGCAAGACCATCAGGTGAGTCCGGCATGTCCTGGGGGGCAGCAGGGGTGCTGTGAGAGGGTCTCCCTCGAGCCCCAAAAGCCATTCTTCCCCGAAGTCCAGTGTGTGGACGCGCCATAGGCTGGGGCCAGAGAGAGGGCGAAGGGGGTGCCCCGGGGTGGCGTGGATGGGGAGGGCGGGGGTCATGACCTCGATGACCAGGCTCAAGCTGGGTAGCAGGGCAGAGGTGGCAGGCGGCAGAGGGCTCTATCAGGCTGGCTCCAGTCTGGGATGCTGATGGTGGGAGCAAGGTCCAGTGCCCGGGGGCCGGTCCCTGTGACAGGAGCCCTCCCCCCGCCAGTGCAGGGCTGTCCCCTTAGCCTCCCGCCATCCCCAAGGCCCAGCCAAGGCTGTCCTCCTGCCTGCCCGGCGGGCTCAGGCTCGGAGCTTCCTGGAACCCTGGGTGGCTGCATGCCCCTCACCGAGGGCAGCTGGACATGAGCCCCTTCTCCTTCCTGACTCAGTCCTTCTCCCGAGACATCCTTCCTCCTGCCCTACTGGGTTCATCCCGGCGCCGCCCCCTCGGCCACTCGATGAAGTCGGGGTCTCCCCCGACCCAGGCCTGGCTCCTTCATCTTCTAGGGCAGCCATCAGCAATCAGCTTGTCTGTGGTGGATAGTCAAGGCTGTTTTCCTAGGCTGTGTTTCTGCTTCCTTGGCGGCTCCAGTGGGCAAATAAAGGCAAAGAGAAACACCCTCCAAACACCGAGATTGCGTGGGGTAAACGACCCAGCCAGGCATGCGGGGTCCCCAGTGTGTGTGCGGGTTTCCGGGCCGGGTTCCGACGTCTTCAGTACAAGGTCTGCCACTCGGTTTACAGCCCAGCCCAGACACACAGGAGCTGGGCGCGGGGTCCTCAACCTCCTGCAGTTAACGTGAAGCCCACGCGTCCCTCCAGGGTTTGAGCAGAGGCTCAGTGACAGCCACCCCGGCAGGGCCTCCTCCCCGTCCTCCTCCTCCACGGCCTTCAGGGTCTCCTGTTCTGAGCTGAGAAATCACTCATGAGTTAGAAATCAAAGGGGGAGGCAGGGCAGCTTTTCAGGCTAATGGGCCTCCTGCCTCTCTAAGGGATTTGTGTTTAAATGAAAGGTCACACATTATTAAGATGCAGAGAAGACGCCGAGGGGTCCCTGGGGATCCGCGCTCCACCCCCTCCTCCCCCACCACCCAGCTCTGTGCAAGTGATTTGTGTAGACAGATTGCAAACCAGTGGCCTAGCAGAAGAGGTAGCGCAAGTGGCAGGTGACATGCTGAACGAAGCAGTAGTGACAGGTTCCTAGAAATGAAGCTGCCGCGGACAGTTCCTGACTGTAGTCAGTGCAAACAGGAGTCGTTATCGCCGGGCCCAGAGTCTGCCATCCTCCCAGCTGAGCCAGGCATGATTCAGCTGGAAATCAGCATGGGGGGTGAGAGTGAGGTTGCTAGGAAATTTCTTTATTTAAAAAGGAAATCAAGACCATTGAAGGAGGAAGAGGCAGAAGTCCCCATTGTGAGAGTTTCTCAGCAAGTCAACTGGGGCTAGCGAGCTGGTCGGCAGAATAAAGGTCCCTAGAGATGTGTGCGCCCTAACGTGAGACCTGGGAATATGTCACATTGCATGGTGTTCAGTCGCTTGGTCGTGTCTTATTCTTTGTGACCCCATGAACTGAAGCACACCAGGCCTCCTTGTCCATCACCAGCTCCCAGAGTTTGCTCAAAATCATGTCCATCGAGTAGGTGATGCCATCCAACCATCTCATCCTCTGTCAACCCTTCTCCTCCTGCCTTCAATCTTTCCCAGCATCAGGGTCTTTTCCAATGAGTCAGTTCTTCGCATCAGGTAGCCAAAGTTTTGGAGCTTCAGCATCAGTCCTTCCAATGAATATTCAGGAATGATTTCTTTTAGGATCGGTTGGTTGAATCGCCCTGCAGTCCAAGGGAATCTCAAGAGTCTTCTCCAACACCACAGTTCAAAAGCATCTGTTCTTTGGTGCTCAGCCTTTTTTATGGTCCAACTCTCACATCCATACATGACTACTGGAAAAACCATAGCTTTGACTAAACAGATCTTTGTCAACAAAGTAATGTCTCTGCTTTTTAATATGCCACCCAGGTTGCTCATAACTTTTCTTCCAAGGAGTAAGCATCTTTGAATTTCACGGCTGCAGTCACCATCTGCAGTGCCCAAAAAACTAAAGTCTGTCACTGTTTCCACTGTTTTCCCATCTATTTGTCATGAAGTGATGGGACCGGATGCCATGATCCTAGTTTTTTGAATGTTGAGTTTTAAGCCAACTTTTTCACTCTCTTTTCTTTCACTTTCATCAAGAGGCTCTTTAGTTCTTCTGCACTTTCTGCCATAAGGGTAGCATCATCTCCATATCTGAGGTTATTGATATTTCTCCTGGCAATCTTGATTCCAGCTTGTGCTTCATCCAGCCCAGTGTTTCTCATGATGTACTCTGCATATAAGTTAAATAAGCAGGGTGACAACATACAGCCTTGACGTACTCCTTTCCCAATTTGGAACCAGTCAGTTTTTCCATGTCTGGTTCTAATTGTTGCTTCTTGGCCGGCATACAGATTTCTCAGGAGGCAGGTCAGGTGTTCTGACATTCCCATCTCTTTAAGACGGTTCCACAGTTTGTTGTGATCCACACAGTCAAAGGCTTTGGTATAGTCAATAAAGCAGAAGTAGATGTTTTTCTGAAACTCTCTTGCTTTTTTGATGATCCAGTGGATGCTGGGAATTTATTCTCCAGTTCCTCTGCCTTTTTAAAATCCACCTTGAACATCTGGAATTTCATGATTCACGTACTGTTGAAGCCGAGCTTGGAGAATTTTGAGCATTACTTTGTTAGTGTATGAGATGAGTGCAATTGTGCAGTAGTTTGAGCAATCTTTGGTATTGCCTTTCTTAGGGATTGGAATGAAAACTGACCTTTTCCAGTCCTGTGGCCACTGCTGAGCTTTCCAAATTTGCTGGCATATTGAGTGCAGCACTTTCACGGCGTCATCTTTTAGGATTTGAAATAGCTCAACTGGAATTCCATCACCTCCACTAGCTTTGTTCGTGGTGGTGCTTCCTATGGCCCACTTGACTTCACATTCCAGGATGTCTGGCTCTAGGTGAGTGATTACACAATTGCGGTCATCTGGGTCATGAAGATCTTTTTTGTATAGTCCTTCTGTGTATTCTTGCCACCTCTTCATAATATTTTCTGCTTCTGTTAGGTCCATACCATTTCTGTCCTTTATTGTGTCCATCTTTGCATGATATGTTCCGTTGGTATCTCTAATTTTCTTGAAGAGATCTCTAGCCTTTCCCATTCTACTGTTTCCCTCTACATTACATGGCGGGGGGAGGTAAATCACAGATGGAACTAAGGTTGCTAACCAGCTGACCTTGGGATGGGGGATTATATGGTTATCTGGGCGGATCCAGCACCGTCACAAAGCTCCTTAAATTGTCCCGCTCTGGCGGTTTGGGCTTGCCTTGTGGCTCAGACAGTGAAGAGCCTGCGTGCGACGCAGGAGACCTGGGTTTGATCCCTGGGTTGGGAAGATTCGCTGGAGAAGGGCATGGCAACCCACTCCAGTACTCTTGCCATGGCCAGAGGAGCCTGGCGGGCTATAGTGCATGGGTCACAGAGTCAGACACGACTGAGCGACTCACACTTTCATTTGACGATTACAGTGCCTTCAAAGTCACTTTGATGTCCTTTGGGCCTGCCCCCTCATCCTCTGACTTTCTGGCATCATGAGATTCTCCAGGCTCATTCTGTGGGTTTTCTGCCCCAGCCCTGGAATCAGCCATTTTTCTAGGGAGCCCTGGTTCCTTTTATTAAAGAGTGGTGTTCAGAGGCCAACATAAACATACACAGATATTCCTATCAGGGATTGAGACGTAACCAATGGAACCACGCAAGCCCAAGAAGAAAAAGAACATGGGTGAATCCGCCTTTAACCTTGGTGTAGGGCAAGGCTATATATAACCCTATTTATTTCAAGGAAGTGGCTTATGACTGTGGGGTGTGCAAAGTCCGAAACCTGTGGGGCAGGCCGAGGCTGGAGGTCTTGGACAGAGCTGATGCTTGCAGCCTCAAGGCTAAATTTATTTTTATTTTATTTTATTTATAGCTGTGCTGGGTCTTCGTTGCTGGGCTCGGGCTTCTCATTGTGGTGGCTTCTCCCACTGCAAAGCATGGGCTCTAGGCCGCTTGAATTTCAGCGGCTGTGGCTTGTGGGCCCTAGAGCACAGGCTCGGTAGTTGTGGTGCCTGGGCTTAGCTGCCCTATGGCATGTGGGAGCAGAAATCAAACCCACGTCCCCCGCAATGGCAGGCAGATTCTTAACCACTGACCACCGGGCAAGTCCAAGGCAGAACTCCTTAACTTGCTTTCAAGGCCTTTCTGCTGAGAGTGAAGTCCCCCCACCCCCACCCCACCCCCCGCCGCCACCCCGCCCTGCATCATCAAGAACGATCTCCTGTATTTAAGGCCACCTGGCCTCTGTCTCCTCTGTCCCGAGAATGGCTTGGGGGTCATCGCTCAGTCCTTCCATGTGTGAGGATGCCTGGGGGGCCTCAGATTCCTCAGGAGTCTGACCCATCGCCGCACCAGGTCCTTGCGGGGCCGCTGGGCCCAGGAGAGCAGGCTCCTGTCCGTGCGCCAGGCCAAGTCCACCATGTCCCGGAGGTCAGCTCATTAAACTGCAGCCCTGGTTCACTAATGGGAACCTAACATGATTTAAAGCATTAACTGGGGGGTGTAATCTAATTGGGGAAGCTTCAGAGGACATGGGAAAATGTGTTGTCAGATGCTCTTGTCAGAGACCTTCCTGCCCTGTTGGTCAGGGAGGGGAGGAATCTGGAATGTGCCGGACTCAGCTAGGAAACGGCTGGTTTTATTTTATTTTTTTTTAATATTTGTTTACTTGGCTGCGCTGTGTCTTCGTTGCAGCCTGCAGGATCTTAAGTTGCAGCACGCGGGATCCGGC